GAATGGAAGCTGCAGAGGTCAGAGATCTCACAAAATATCAGCATCTTCAATAATCCCTTACCTTTTAATATTTAGCATTATTTGTCTTTATTATATAAATTCATTTTGTTTTCTACAAAGAAATTAAATATTTATACTTTGATTTAAATAATTGTGTGTGTGTGTGTGTTCGTGTGTGATGAAAACTAATCAGTTCTCCTTACAAACCCAGAATAGCAAGTCACATAATGAAATTATTGCTTCATTGGTTTGATGCATTAATCTAAAATTGACTTTGATTGTAAAGTCCATTAACTGGCAGCATTGTTGAATTTCACTAGACACCCTGATACAAATTGTCAAACAGTTTCTTGCTCATATGTTTATGTCGCACAGTTGTACTGTTTGACCGCACTGAGAATGATTTGAAAAAATAACAAAAAATGATCAGTTTGAGGCATTGTAGGACGGCGGTGGTGCTGTGGTTTTTCCTCTGGACAAAAGATGTTAATGTCCCACAAATATGAATCAAACTGTGTTGGGCCACTTTTAAATTATTCTACATTCGATGAAGTGGTAATCCTCTTCTCAAAACACAGTCATTGTGTTTACCTATGTGACACAGACTTGAACAGACATGTGTATGGACAGTAGATGTCTGTTTTCTGTTTTATTGGAATTCAAAATATATCCAAACTAACTAACTAAAAAAAAGTAAATTAAGCTGTTTAAGCTGCTGAGCTCTGCTTTACACATGTCACATACAGTATAGTCTTGTTTTTTACATTTCTTTCTTTTTGCTACAATTTTGCATATAATGCATAAGCCCTTAGCTTTTTTTCTTTACATCTGATAGGTTCTTGAATACAAGTGTCCTTGTTGCATCTAATAAATCTTTAATTTATTTTTGGCAGCTAAACACATATATTTGCAAAAAATTGTTTTAGTTTTTCCTTCTTCTTAATGTATTGATTCATTTAAGGACTAAATGGAAATCATTTGATGGAGCATTTACTGTTCTATATCTGGAAGCCTACACGTTACTTATTTGAGGTTGATTAGGAAATGAATTATCACACACTGCTTATGTTTAATAATATGTTTAGGTATATAAAATACACATATAGTGTTGATAATAAGCCACATATACTTACTGGGAATCAGTTTTATAATCCAGGCAAGTGGACCACCGTATGCTTTTTGCACAACTTCTGGAAGTAATTCAATGAATTGGAGAACAACTGTTATAAAGTTTGATAGGATCCACACATGCAGGCTTTTCAGGTTGTAAAACCACCTACATTTTAAGACTTTTCATTATTGTAATTATTATCCTTTTTAACTATCTCATATTTTTTCTCTTTATAAGAAGAAAGTGAGAAGAGTCACATTTTATGGATCTGTTTGGATTTACTGCACTGCCTATTATACTTTATACTAAATTTGTTATGCCCATTTATGTTTTTGGATACAGACTCACAAAATGCATACAAGAATTGCTTATTTAAATGGTAAAAAATCCATTTTCAGTTTCTGTCTTTTACTGCCACATTTAATGACGAGAAAAACTGTTGAAGACAAAAACTTTAAAATGTATGTAATTTTAGACACATTTATGTTAAAGCTGATTAAATAAAATTAGAGACATGAATCTATGAGCTTTAGTTTCATCATGAGTACTTTATAGATTTAAGAACTAAATTAACACATACATGCTCTTCTACAGGACTACCTCAGTATTTTTTACTAAATGATGCCCGCCATACAATTAAATAAGATCAGCTTTTCTTAGAAATTAGCTTTTATAGTTAATACAGAAATTTGCCAAAAGCTTTTAGAGTGTAAAAATCTGACTTTTTGCTCTTTTAAAAGTGCTGTAAATGGATTTGTTCAAATTGATTTATTTCCCTGTTTCTCAAGGCCACAGTGTTTCAGAACCTTGCTAAGGAAAAGAGATGCAAGTGTGGAGTTTTCTGTTACTCTCACTTAAAGCAGAGGATTATAACAAACCAGTTGTTAAAGTTTGTTCAGTAGCTGCTGAGTAAATAGATCACCCTTAATGTTTGCCAAATTACATCTTATGGCTGTTATAAATTTCAGCTTCTAGTTTTTCCCTCTCTCGCCTCGTCTCAACTTAGAAAGAACTATAAATACTGTTTTAAATTTCCAAACTTTTACTGAACATTAAAGCCAACATTTGCAGCAGCTACAGTACTTTACAGCATAATACTATTTATTATATATATATTTAATGCATGCACAAGTTACACACATTTCTCATTTAATTCCAGTTAACAGGAAGTTAATTTGATATCAGATTAAGAAATACTCTTTTGAACTTCTTCCACAGAAACACAAAGATGTGAAGCACAGTTACTCATGGATAAATTATGAACACACTTACAGTAGAAATTCTTAAATCCATCAAATTCACAACCCCTTCTGCAAAAAGTGAAAATGTATTCCCAAAAGCCACAAAATCATCAGATTTTTAATGGAAAGACCAAGAGACAGCCCTGACTCTGAGGCATTAAAAACGTGTTTTAGACTGCTAGCTTTGGGCTTCTTTGTTGGTGGATTTGCCCAGGCTCATGACTCAGTATTGCTCATCGTGTAGGAGATGATTCGCCCGCCATTTCTGAAAACTTTTTCTCTCGCTCTTTGTTCTTGCCTGTTTACTTCTATCTGCTGAACTAGTGTGTTTTTCCAGTGTTTTCTAATCTTTCTTGTGCAATCTCATATTCAACCTTTCAGCCAGGTTATATATTTTTTAATTAGTTTAGTTTCTGTGTGTTTCTGTGTGTTATGTTAGGAATTTGGGAAGTGGGGGATGGGAATAGGAGAGGCTTTGTTTCCCCCCAAAAAAAAAAAAAAAAAATCTAGCTTGATTTTTGATACCGTGTGTCCTAACCATTTTCTATTGTGTAATTTAAAGCGTGATCCATCTGTTAGACTTCCTGTCTGCTTTATGCCCATTCACATGTAGGATATCTATTACCTGGTATAAAGTTAATCATTACTAAAAGGTTTCCTTGTTGTAAACTCAATCATTTAACACAACCTGTTTTTTCTCACCATAACATAGGTGTGTGTACGTGTATCTGCGTGTGTGTGAGGAGAGGGGGGGGCGGAAATGACTTGCCTCCTTCAGAGAAAGTTATCAGCTATAAACTCAACCGTATGTGACATGACTGCCCACGCAAACCTGCCCTAAAATCTTTGATGTGTCTCTGAGCTTTGATGATGCCTCCCTAACATGAACAAAAGACGTACAAGTGGAACATGAGGAATGTTTTGAAACAATAGTTCAGAGGATGTAATTCACTGTGTATAGCCACAAAAGAGAATAAATGAAGGTCTTTAGTATGTATTTGTTTAGTGATTAATCACTAACTCCAGCCTAGGGATGGGCCACTGATTCGCTATTCTAGGGCATTCTCTGCAGTCTCTCGCGTCTTTCTTTTTTTTTTTCTTTGAGTGTGTGTGTGTGTNNGGGGGGGGGTAGTAGTATGCTTGTAGTTGGTGGCTAAATCTTGTAAAGGGTTTTCCTAATATGGGCCGTCTTACAGGAGCACCTCCCTCTGTGGGCCATCCCCCCAGATCTCAGCCAGTGATGACACAGCTCGGGTACGACTCACTTCCTCATTAATTGGCTCAAACCAGTTCTTACAGGAACCACTCGTGATAAATGTGAGAGTTCTGAGAAGTCATTCATTTCTCCTCGCTGCAGCGGCAGAGGAGGCACTGCAGGGGAGTTGAACGAGTTCACCGTTGTGTGTGTGTGTGTGAGAGGGA